CGAGGAGGACGAGGAGGAAAAGGAGGACGAGGACGAGGAGGAGGAGGAGGAGGAGGAGGAGGCCCAGCGTGCTGGCCGCGCTGGCTCCTCGCCCGGCTCGATGGTCGGGGCCCCTCGCGCTGGCCGCCCTCCCCCGCGCGCCTCGTGCCCCGGCTCGTGGCCGCCCGCGGGAGGCGGGCGCATCTCTTCGCCTCGCGCCCCCCCGCCCTGGCCATCGCTCGGACGTCCATTCCTTGTGTTTTTTTCGGTTTCGTGCGTGGCTTTTTCGCCAAATGATCAAGGATGCTCCTCGGTCCTCGCCGAAGGAAAAATGCACACGTCCGAGCGATGCCGAGCGCCTCGCCGACGGCCTCGCGCGCTCGGGCCGCGCGTCGGCCCCCCCACGGGCGCCGCAGTCGGTGGCCCCGTCTGCCCTCTGGCCGGCCACCGCCTCGGGCCATATGGTAGAACTGGGTTTCGTGGAGCCTGGTGTAAAGATCTGTACCAGGGGCGCCCCCCCGTCCCACTGAAGGGGCCCTGGGACACACCCTTAAATACACACAAGTAAAAAGATTCCCCATAGTTTCTGAATTGTTTATGGTTTTGGTCTTCCCCCCACTTCCCATATGTTCCTATATGTTCTGGGGAATCGACGATTCGTTGTGTCTGTGTGTTTCTTTCCCTCCTGACCCATTTCCACTAACCGGAACTGCTGTCGCCCGAAAAACACCAGTTACGGCAAACCTGGTTTAGTGAGTCTGGCCAGTTGAGGGGCCCCAGGGCCCTACCACTCACCGGGTCCCCTTACCCGGGGTCCTGGCTATGCCCGGACCGCCTCGGCCCCTCGCCGACGCCGCGGGCTCGCGGCCGCGCGTCGGCCGCGGCAGGCGCCCAAGGTGGCTGCAGCGCGGAAGGGCAGCCTAAGGCGGATGCCACGAGGACATGGTACAACCCAGGGTGTCTTCCAACGCGCCTCCAAGAGGCCTCAAGACGGCTCCACGTGGCCACGCAGCCTCCCAAGGAGAGACCCGATACGCCGACTTCGCTCAGACATCGAGAATGTGTGTGTGTGTGTGTGTGTGTGTGTCCCACTCATTGCTGCATTCTCGCCATCCCGCTTCTCACGAGCCTCTCAGGCCTCAGGATGGCTCCAAGATCGCCCAAGACAGCCACAAGATAAGCCCAGGGCCCCAAGACGGCCCCAAAAGCTCCTCCTCCTCCTGCTCCTCCTCCTCTCGGGGGCGCGCAAACATGGATTAGCGATCCATGGATTTGGCGCGCGGACGCCAAATCCATGGATCGGGGGAAGTGCCCTCCCCAAAATGAGGCCGGTGTCGCCTCGGTTGGCGGCGGAAATCCGCGATTTCCCATGGAATCGGGACCCATCGCTAATGCACGCCCCCTTGATCCATGTTTGCGATCGCCTGATCTTCCTCGTCCTCCTCGTTTCTCCTCCTGCTCCCCCTCATCCTGCCGCCTACCCAGCTGCGGAGGAGGGTCTGGTGAGGGCCTTCGACCTCCTCTCCCTCACCCCCTCCTCCTCCATGTCCCTCCCCCCAGTCTACCATTCCACTTCCATTTCCCCCCCCATCCCGTCTCCCGGACGAGAGGGAAGAACAGGGGGAGGGGCTGTCATGTCGAGCCATGGGCGGCCCTCCCGAGCGAGGAGGAGGAGGAGGACCAGCATAAACCCAGGACTCATCAACGAGGTTGGGACACACCCTCCCTCCAAGCTTCCTCTTCATAGGCCCCATGCAAAGAACCATTTCCACTGAAGAAATGCCCCGTTGGGAGAAAACCGTGTGAAAGTTCTGAAGCGTGCCGAAACACCATTCTCAGGACTTCGACGCCACGCGAGTCAACCTGCCTGTTGCGTCTTGACAATCCTGGATCGTATCAGAACACCACTCCTGGGACTTCAGCACCTCGAATCAATGTAACTGTTTCGCCCTGGCAATCCTGAATCGCTCCAGAAAGCCATTCCTGGACAATTAACCATGAATACCAGCGAAACTCTTGCAAACTTTGAAAACGAATGTGCGCGGCGCTCAGGCGAGAATCATGGTTTGAAAACAAGCCGCCTTCAATCCGTTAAACCCCTGCAACTTTTTAGAACGAATGCGCCCGGCGCTCAAGCGAGACCAGCATTTTGAGAACGAGCCGCCCTCAATCCGTGAAGCTCTCGAAAATTGCTAAACACGAAAGTACACGGCGCACAAGCGAGAGCCACACTTTGAGAACGACCCGCCTCCACCGGAGAAGCTCTTGTAATCCCACCAGCCCTCTGGGCGTGAGTGGTTTAGAGAGCCCCACATCAACCCCCTTCTTCCCCTTCGGGGAGGTGTTCATCATTGTTCCCTATTAGTATACACCCCCTCCCCCAGGCGACCGGGGGCTAACCAGGCACTATGCCGACACCATGCCCACATCAAAAGTCAATGCGAAGTACACTTAGGGGCAAAGCCTTGAGTCATGTTCGTGAGGCCCGCGGGCACTTCGTACTGTTTTTGACAAGGACGGCGGGGGTGTCAGCATATTCCCTGCTGTGCGCAGGGCTGCCATCCCTGACTCCCTGACAACAAATATACAACATGCACATCGCGGCTAAATCTGGACCATGCGCGGCCATCCCCGATCACTGTCAAGGTGTTTCTGACAGGGACGGCGGGGGTGGTAGCGCGTGGCCTGCTGTGCGCAGGTCCAGCAGACACAATTGTGGGCATCGGATTTTGACAAGGATGGCGGGGGCCGACATGTTTCCCGATGTGTGCTGTCACGTGCGCAGGTGCACCTGACGCACTCTGCACGCGCCCCGAACGCGGCGCACCTGGCGTGGCTGGAGTGTGCGGCACACCTGGCGCACTCAGAGCACGTGGCGCATCTGGCGCACCAGGCGTGCCTGGCACGCTCGGGCCCCAGGGGTGCCTGGCGCGCGTGGCGCCCCTGGCACGCGTGGCACACCTCGCCCAAACGTCGCGCACCTGGGGTCGGCTTTGGTTCCCAGTAGCTGTCCATCCAAGGACGACCGCTGAACATGCTCAGGCGTAGGCGTTACTTATGTGTAGGGAGGGCGGGTGGGAGTGAGCCACGGCTTGCGGGCAGGTGGGTGTCTTGACCCCTCCCCCTACGCTCTCCCCCCGGGCCTGAAGGGGGGGGGGCCGCGGGTCGCTAGAGCGTCTGAATTGGCCTAAGGTGGCGCGAAGACAGCCCAAGAGAGCTCAAGATGACCTCCAAGCTCGCTCAAGATAGCCCTCGATGACTCAAGATAGCTCCTAACAAGCCTACACGACGCTCCAAGACCGCCCCAAGACGGCCCCAAGTGGCCACGGAGCCTCCCGAGGACGCCCCCCTGAGAGGCCAAGATCCTTCCAAAGCCTGGGGACAAATCGATGACGTGTCCCTTCTCGCCTTTTCGCGTTCAGTGGGCCCTTGCGGCTTCAAGATGGTCCCAGAATGGCCCCAGAAAGCCCCAAGACAGGCCCCAGAGAGGCCCAAAACGGGCCCAAGAGCGCCCAAGAACGCACCAATAACAAAAAAACATATTTTTGGCAATGTTCGTACGGCCCTGCAACTTTAAAAACAAATGCAATGAATAAATAATAATAAAGCATTTCAGCCGCGCCTAAAACCAGCACCAACCAAATTTCACGTTTCGGGTTCCGAAGGGGGGCCCTAATTGACGCCGCGCTTCTGTTTGAGTCGTGGCCTCCAAGGTGGCCCCAAAGAAAATGGCCCAGAGACCTCCAACATATCCCAAAGAAGGCCATCAGATAGCCCCAAGATACCTCCAAAAGGCTCTCAGAGAGAAAGACCCAGAAAAGGCATTGATGGTTGACTCGTCATCGTCGTCGTCGTCGGCGTCTGCGCGGTCGTCGTCGTCGTCGTTGTCGTCGTCGTCGCGTCGTCGTCGTCGACGTCGTCGTTGTCATCGTCGTCGTTGTCTTCGTCGTCGTCGTCGTAGTCGCCGTTGTCGTCGTGGTCGTCGTCGTCGTCGTCGACATTGTTGTGGTCATCGCCGTCGTTGCCGTCGTCGCCGCTATCCCCCTCTCGTCTCACACCGCCTTCTCTCCTTCCTCCTCCTCCTCCTCATCCGCCCCGTCCTCCTCCCACTCCTCCCACAAGGAAGAGCTAAAAAGGAGCAGGCGTGGTCGTCGTAGTCGTTGTCGTCGTCGTCTTCGTCGTCGTCGCGGTCGTCGTCGTCGTCGTCGCCGTCGTCGTCGTCGTCGTCGTCGTCGTCGTCGTCGTCGACGTCGACGTCGTCGTTGTGGTCATCGCCGTCGTCGTCGTCGTCGCCGCTATCGCCCTCTCGCCTCCAACGTCTTCTCTTCTTCCTCCTCCTCCGCCTCGTCCCCCACCCACTCCTCCCACAAGGAAGAGCTAACATGGAGCAGGTGGGATGTAGGAGGAACAGGCGGGTAGATGCGAGGGCAAGAGGAGGTACGCTCGAAAACAAAGACAGCAAGCATGCTTCGTAAAAGTTGCTGTTCTGGGATGGGCTGGCGGGGATACGCGACTCGTAAAGACTTGTCATAACGAATGCGCGCGACGCTGCGGCAAGAGCCACATTTTGAAGACCACCCGCCCCCCATCTATGAAACGGTTGCCAGCTTCTATAAGCTTCAGGCTCATAAATGGTATGGAAGTCCCAGGCGAGGCGCCGGGCCCGCCCTTCCGACCAGCCCCAGGGTGAGACAGGGAGGAGATATTCAAAGACAAAGAAATGGAGAGGCCGAGGAGGGCCACCAATGTCTCGACCGGTCCTCCCCGGGGGGGGGGAGGGGGACGTTCGGCTGGGGCCGGCTCAGAGGGGGAATCGTCGACCTGGAATCGGCGTTACATCACCGAGGCCACCGATAGAAAAACCGCACGTCCTTCCTGGGCGGTATGGGCCATCGGGCCCCTACGTACAGCGATCACTGGGCGACTGGGGATCGGTGCATCTCCGTCTAAGGGAGGGAGGGGGAGGGGGGTGTCCAGACCAGCGGGCACGTTGAGGGCCTCCCATCCTTGGCGCGCGCCATCAGGTCCGACAGAGGCCCCAACAGCATGTTGAATGAGTCGCGATCCAGGACCTGCGGGCGCAGAAACACAGGCGCGTGCTCGCGCACACACGCACACAAACATTCCAAACACGCACACAGACACACGCACAAAAAGACGCACGGGGAAGCGGCGAGGGACCCCACTCGCACACACAGACACACACACACACACACACACACACGCACACACACACACACACACACACGCACACACGCACACACACTCACACACGCACACACGCACACACGCACACGCACACGCACACGCACGCACGCACGCACACACGCACACGCACATACACGTACACGCACACGCACGCGTACACACGCACACGCACGCGCGCATGCACACGCACGCTTGCACGCGCGCGCGCAGTAAACGTGCACGCGCACAAACAAAGGCACGGACAGAGACACGGACAGAGACACAGACAGACACAGACAGACAGGGAGACACAGACAGACACAGACAGACAGACAGACAGACAGACGGACGGACAGACAGACAGACAGTCAGATACACCCACACACATACGCACACGCGCACACAGACACATAGACACAGACACACACACACACACACACAGCGAGAGACACACAGAGACCCCCACATACTTACATATGCACACACACACTTTTTCCAGCGGAGTGGTGAAGCGCACCCCCTCGGAGAGCGACGACGGGCCTCACTCCGAGCGAGCTGGCCGCCCTGCGTGGCAGCGTGTGCTGAGCTGGCAACCCCTGGGGCAGTTCCGCCTCCGAGCGGCAGAGACAGGTGCAACCATGAAAAAACAACGGCGAGCGCCGGCGGCCCTGGTGGACGGCCCGGGAGGGCACCGCAGGGCCGCAAAAGAGGCGACGCCGTGGGGCCGCCTCCTCCTCCTCCTCCTCCTCCTCCCTCCTCCTCCTCCTCCTCCTCCTCCTCCTCCTCCCTCTCCCTCCTCCTCCTCCTCCTCCCTCCTCCTCCTCCTCCGCCTCCTCCTCCTGCTCCACCTCCTCCTGCTCCTCCTCCTCCTTCTCCGGGAGAAGAGAGGGGAGCGGCAGCAGCGACCCGACGACCGAGAGGGGAGGACGATCCCTGGGCGGCAGTCCAGGGTCCGGGGTCTGGGGTCCGGGGCGCGAGCAAGGGAAGAGCAGAGGTGAGCGACGCACGACGGCGGGACGGAGGACAGGGGGAGGATCGCCCACCCGGCGGCGCACGAGATGCTGGAGGCTGTGCAAGCCACATCGGACCAGCCCGGAGAAGCCCCCGGGGCTGAGCACAGCCGGCGGCTCCACGATGGGCCGCGCGGAACTGTGATCCGTGGCGAGGAGCCGCACCTGTGACCAGACACACAGACACACACGCGCACACATATTCGTAGTCCGACGCATGCACGCACAAATCTATGTTATCGTACACATATACATATGTGTGTATATATATATATATATATATATACTAGAACCTTCGCGCGCGCTTCGCGCGCGCTCTGGTTCTAGTCGAAGTCACGGCGAGGCTCTGGCAACGTGCTCCGGCAACGCGTTTCCGGAGCATGTTTGGGGGACCTGGGTAGGCAGTTGTGAAGCCTCTCGGAGGCCGTTTTGGAGCCTCTGGAGGCCTCTTCTGGGCCTCTTGGGGGCCTCTTGGTAGCCTTCTGGGCTGTCTTCGGGGACTCTGAGGGCGCGCGGACTTCTGGGCTGTCCTCGGGCTGGTCGGGGACTTCTGGGCTGTCTTCGGGGACTGGTTTTCTTGGGAGCATCTTGGAGCGGAGAGCTCGACTGTTCGGTGCGTGTCCCCTCTCTTGGGCCGCTGTTGGCGCTTTCTTGGAGCTCTCTTGGGCTGTCTTGGGCGGGCCTGGAGACAGTCTTAAGCTCTCTTGGGCCGGCTTCGGCCTCTCTTGGGGGTGTCTTGGCCTGTCTGGGAGCATACTGGGGAGTCCTGGGCCGGTCTAGGAGCGTCGGAAAGCCGAAACAGCGAGGAAACCAAAAACATAGGAGACAACACATGGAAATCAACGATTTCGGCCTCTCGGGCCGCTCCTCGGCGGCATCTTCAAGCCTCTCGGCGCGTCTTGGGGGACGTCCTCGGCAGCTTCAGACGCATCGCGAGGAGCTGGAGACACCTGGAGGCGGTCTTCGGAGCGTCTCGAAACCGTCTGGGGACGCTGGGACAGCTGTCCGAGAGCTCCTGGAGCCTTCTTGCGTCTCTCTTAGGCCGTCTGGAGGCTCTCTTGGGAGCCTCTGGGGCCTTCTTGGAACGGTCTTGGGAGCCTCTGGGGCGGTCGTGGAGCGTCGGAAAGCCGAAACAGGGAGAAAGCCAAAAACGTGTTTAAAACAACCAATCAAAATCAACGATGTTGGCCTCTCGGGCCGCTCTAGGGCGGCATCTTGAAGCGTCTTGGGAACTTGTCGAGAACGTCCAGGGCTGCCAGGACGGCTGTCTGAGGGCTTCAGACGGCGATTTCAGCCCTCTCAGAGGCGGCTCGAGCCCCGGCTCCACATTTGTGGTCGAGGTTCGGGCCCCCGGGCGCGTCCTGGAGCCCCGTGGCCCCCATGGGGGTCCGAGGTCCCAATCTGGCGGCCCCAGGTCCCGTTCCCCGGTAGATATATACTAGAACCATCGTGCGCACTTCGCGCGCGCTCAAGTTCTAGATACAATATCGGCGGCGCCTGTTGCAGTAATACGAGAGTAATTGTCGGCGGAGCCTGCGGCAGTAACATGCGTTCGGCCGAACGGTTTTGCACGACTCCAGGGTAGCCACGGAGGCTTCGTGGGCTCCCTTCGGCCTTCGGGGGAATTGCTTGGGAATCATGAGGCGAATCCGGGAACATCCGGGTCAGTCCTGGGCGGCTTGGGATTCGAGAAGGTGGGACACTCGTGCGTCGGGCACCGCGGCTGACTACCTACCAGACCACCCCAACCCAACCCGAAGACCCGAATCTCGGGTTGGGGGGGGTAAGGGTTCCACGCGTGTTTTTTCGATGTTTCCCGAACCCCCCCCCCACCGGAAATCGAGGGTAAATCCGAGCCTTCGGGTTGGGTTGGGGTGGTTTGGTGGGTGGTGAGCGGCGGCGGCGGCGGCGAGGACGACGAGAAGGGGAGCGGGAGAAGACGGAGGGGGACGTGGAGCGAGAAAGGATGCAAGAGAGCTGAAGACGGAAGTCTGAGGCACGCCCGCGCTGGGCACAGGCATGGCTACATCGGGAGCGGCCAAGAGGGGGAGGGGGTCCAAGAGGGGGGGTGCAAATCATGACCGGCGGCATGCGCGCGGCCCCGCGGGGGGGCCAGGGGCGCAATGAAGTAAGAAGAGGCGCCATGAGATCTGGGGAAATATCATGGCCCCCGCCATGATATCCACCCCCCCCTAGTCATCACCCCCCTCTTTTCCGCCCCCGAGTACAGGAGGGGGGGAGGGGTCGAACAACAAAAAAATTACACCAGAGAAAAAACCCAATCAGTGGATGGTTTTCGCGGAAGAGATCGACCAAGAACCGGGGAACCCGGGAGCCCGGGAACCCAGAACGCACCGAAATCGGCCCGGAACCAACAAGCAGGAATCCGGGAACCCAGGAACCCGGGAACCCAGGAACCCAGCCTGCTACCAAAACCCTTCAACTTCTGCTAGGACCCCTTCAGTGCAAGCACGGATTGGGGAATGTGGGGAAGCTCTTCTTTGTTCTTCCAAGTTGGGGCTCCAATGACTCAGTGCAGCAGAAAGCGGGGCGAGGGATGCGGAGAGAGGAAAGTAAGGGAGAGATGAGGGGGAGGGAGGAGGGAATAATGAGAGAGGAGCCGCATCCCCCGAAGTCGACGCCATCTGGGATGTCTCGCGGCAGTCTCCCAGGTGATCTTAAGGGCGTCTGGAAAGCTTTCCTGGAGTCTCGTGGGGGCGCCCCTTGGGCCTCCTAAAGCCTCTTGGGGGCCTCTTGGGGGTTCTGGCGGAACTTCGTGAGGGCGTCTTGGAGTTCAGAGGCCCGCTTCATGCAGATTGGGACCCTTCGGGGAGTCTCTCGAGGGTCTCTTTCTGGGGTGTCTTCAAAACCCAGAAAGAAAGAAGATAGAAGGATGCGAAACGGGAAGCAGGAGAAATATCAATGGGAGCGGACAACGAGGGATGGGATAGGCGGAAACGAATTTGTCTTGGGGGGGCGGGAAGGGGGGTCGAACGTGAATCAAAAAGGGTTCGTAGGATTTCTGTGCATGTTTCAAGTTGGGGCTCCTGCCACTCCGTGGGACAGGAAGCTGGGTGAGGGAGGCGGAAGGAGGAAGGAGCGAAGGAGAGAGGAGGTGGGGGGAGGAGGGAGAGGGGCACAACGGGGAAAGGGGAGGATGAGAGAGAGAGAGAGACCAATCGGGAGCGGCCAAGAGGGGGGTGTCCAAGAGGGGGGGTGCAAATCATGACTGGCGGCATGCGCGCGGCCCAGCGGGGGGGCCAGGGGCGTAATGAAGTAAGAAGAGGCGCCATGAGATCTGGGGAAATATCATGGCCCCCGCCATGATATCCACCCCCCCCTAGTCATCACCCCCCTCTTTTCCGCCCCCGAACAACGCGGAAGGAGGAAGGCGCGAAGGAGAGAGGAGGTGGGGGGAGGAGGGAGAGGGGCACAACGGGGAAAGGGGAGGATGAGAGAGAGAGAGAGAGAGACCAACCCAGACCCCCGACGTCTTGTTTTTTACCTAACAACGAAGACTCCCCAGAGGGGTCTGGGCGGGAGCCGGACAGGCGAGGGCCGGGCTCGTGTTAAGCAAACAGTCACACACTTCGTGCTCTTCGACCTCCCAGAACTCCATTCCCGGGCCGCATTTTGAATGCCCGGAGCCAACTGTAGGCCACTTCGTGCTCTTCGACTTCCCAGAACTCCATTCCCGGGCCACATTTTGGATGCCCGGAGCCAACTGTAGGCCACTTCGTGCTCTTCGAGTTCCCAGAACTCCATTCCCGGGCCACATTTTGGATGCCCGGAGCCAACTGTAGGCCACTTCGTGCTCTTGGACT